ATTTTGGGGGGCAGTAAACACTCTGAGTTATAATATTATGGTAGAGATATGCCATTATCCAAACCTATGACATGTATAAAACCAACAGAAAACACAATGTCAGTGCGATTTCATGTATTGCCACAGTGGAGACGCGCTGATAGGAGACACTGAGAGCAGAGGAGACCAGGCCCTTGTGAGGACTGGAGTTTACAAGACACATCCTTACCTTCCTTTCAGTTTGGTTATGAATATACAACTACTCTAGAAAGTGACATAAGGCTCCTAATAACACTACATTAATACATAGACTTTCTTTTTAAAAAAAAATGGGGGGGGCAACAATAAACAACATCTTCTTGAGTTTTCTGACACTGACTTTGAAAATCTAATGTGAAATTTAAAAATTGAAAAGTAAAATCCATAAAAAAACTATAAACAACTATCCTCAAAAGGTAGATCGTTTTCATTCATTTCTTTAAAAAATGTGGTAGATGTTTTTTCATATGCTTATACGTGTGTGTGTGTGTGTGTGTATGTGTGTGTATTTTGCTGGACATACAGTATCAAATCCTGATCCTCAGACAACCAGGCAAGCCCTCTACCACTGGGCTATACTGTCAGTCCACTGGACTTCCCAAAAATTTTCTAAAGATTTCTAAAGAATTCAAAATATCCTCAAGCACAAAATAATTCTAATTTCCATTTTTCCTCATAGTCGGCATCTGTCCCTTTTACCTTTGATGAAAAAACAAAGGGCTTAGAGGGTAACATGTTCAACAGATCTCTAATGTTGACCCTGGAAATAAGGCTCAGTGGGTAAAAGTGCTTGCTACACAAACATGAGAGTCTGATTTAGGATCTCCAGAACCCATATAAAAACTGGATGCAGTGTATCTGTGATCTTAGCGCCCCCATGGAGAGACAGAAAGCTGGAGCCAGAGAATCCCTAGATGTTCATAGGCCAGTTAGCCCACTATACACAATAGAAAAACAACAAAGATACCCCATCTTAAACAAGGGGCAAGGAAAGCAAGGTTGGACTGGATGTGAGGTTATCTTCTGACCTTGACATGTAGGCCATGACATAGGAATGCCTGTATTCACACAAACACAAATGCAAGCCCACAGATACATAAACACATATTACAACACACACACATACACACAACAATTATTCGATGTTTTGAGTGAAGGTATCTTGATAGGAAATGAGCTTATGAATAATAACTGTATGGTAAACAAATATCATTTCACTGCCATGGAGGAAAATCAGAGCCTAGATACCCAAACCTGACGTACAGTGTTGGAGACAACTTGTGTGTGTACTCTTATCAGGCTCAATCGATGAGTTATGTTTGCCCAGGGTATTTGAATTCTATGTCAAGGAAACTAGATGTCCTTGTTGGGCTCCAGCTCTAGACATCTGCCTGGCTGAGAGGCTCCTCCCTTACTGCAGGTTGCAGAATAATCACAACCATCACTTCCATGTGGCCTTTCTAGAATACTTTAGTGGCTGCTAAATCAAGCAAATGTGCATACACACCTACCCTTACACTTACCTTACTCCTCCCATGGAGACCAACTCCTAGCAGGGGCTTCCCTCTCAGGGGCCTAGGTGTTAGGACAGAAATTGCTCCTTTACAAAATCAGAATGGACCCTGGTGCAATGAGAAGCCTGTAGCCCCAAGCTCATTGATGAGACAGCACAACTTTTCCCTACCCATCAGCAGAGGGATGGGAACAGGCATGGAAGCCATTGTTTTCATCACCACTCTTCTCCTTGCAAAAGCCCCACCTCTTTGTTTCGCTCTCTTTGAACTAAAGGCTTTTTTAATTCATCAGTCTGGTAGGAATGTCATATTCTCTGAACAAAGATGTTTAGACTTTCAAGTTTCCAATCTACCTTTTAATAGACTGGCTCCATATGCTTAAATTTTGCTTAATTTTGGCAAATAAGTAAAAGAACAAAACCCAAGTAACAAAAGAGGCTGAGAATTCAGCCTTGAGCAGCTGACTTTAGCATGTATTAAGATTGCCTTCCATGTATTGCTAGCATCTCCATCCTTCTGAAGTACAGTGGTAGACTTACTAAATTAGCATGATATCACTATCTAATAAGACAGATGAAAGGCAAGAGTAATAAATGTCCCTAAAAAGCTCAAAACCAATGGTTAATTTAAATTTTAGGCCCATATAAACAAAAATAAAATATTTACAGTTTTAAACAGCTTGAACATGTTAATAGAATCTCTCTCTCTTGTTTTTTTTTTTTTTTTTTTTTTTCTTTGAGACAGGGTTTTTCTGTGTAGCTCTGGCTGTCCTGGAACTCACTCAGCTCTTCCTGCCCTGGAACTCACTCTGCAGGCTGGCCTCAAACTGGGGAGATCCACCAGGCTCTGCCTCCTGAGTACTGGGATTAAAGAGAATCTCTTAAACCATTGCAGTAAATCACATTCTATGCCCCTCAGGTATGAGCTCAGTTCCACTGCAATGAGAAATACCTAGAACAGAACTGTCGATACGTGCTGACATTGTTCAAAACATTGCCAAATTCCTTTCAAGCAAAATTTAGAAATTTACAGTGTTTCATAGCCTGTTTTCTATAAATTCACTTCATGAAAAGTTTCTGGTTTTTTTACCCCAATTTGCATGAGAACGTTGGGCATATCAGTGTTACCTGCAGAATTGCTGTGAGGTTTTGCTAATGGCAGAAGCCATGGTAATGATACCAATTTAAAATAGAACACAATGACAATATCTAAACATATTATGCTAAGCATATTACACATGAGAGGTGAAAAGCCCTTAGAATGGCTCCTGATATACAAGAGTTCAATGAAATCTTTAGCTGCTATCAAATCATTTTATTCCAGCTATGATGTGTGCAATATGATCACGGTAATTTAGATCTGTACACAAATTGACAGCCAGGTTATGTTAGTTGCATACAAGCACAAACTAGAAAGAGTCATAATTTGAAGAAAGACCCTGCAGTTCTAGAAACACTCTTATCACAAATAGCTGTATATTAATTATTCTGTTTGGGAAAGTCTTGGGTAAAGGTCTCATCTTCCCTGTTTGGTCCTGTACCCTTTTACAAAAAAAAAAAAAAAAAAAAAAAAAAAAAAAGAATGTTCTAGAGTGGCAGTTTCCCCAACCAAGTATTTGCCCCACTAAGTAAAATTACATGTACAAATAAGACACCACAGTTCTTACAGAGCCACATGCTAAAAGCAGGTGAAGCCACTAGGAGAGGGACCAGGCAAGCGCTAACAGCATTTTCACATGTTAATTTTTCAGACAAAAGTCAAGACTTTTTAAAGTAGAGGGACTCAGGGAAACTGCCTCACAACTGGATCTCTTGACTTGTAAGCCCCACGCTTGCAGCAGCCCAGGCTACCCAGTCACATGGATCACCCTTTCCTTTTGCAGGTGTTACTATTTGGGAAAGGATCTCTGCCTGTTATCTGAAGATTTTACCTCATTTTATCTGAGAAAGCCCCTTGTTCAGTTATACACCATGCATACCTTGAATCACACACCTGGGAAGCGAAAGCCTTCCTTAGAGTCTATTCACATTCTATGTAATGCAAACCAGGGGAACTGAGACCATATTTGCATGCATCTCCAGAGGCTTCCTGGGTCAAGTACCATTAAGATGCAAGTCTTTACAGGAAAGCTTTTTAGTTGAGACGTGTGGATGCATCTTTCAACACTCGCAAATACGGTAGCAAAACAAAAAGAGAGACCCGCTAACCTCCTGAATTACATAGAAGTAAAATATGAGATCACATTGCCAATTACATTTCACAAGCATGCTCACAAATTTCGCTTGGTTAAATTTTCTTGTTTCTTTAAAGCTATCTTCTAGTTTTATTTTTTTGACTGGTGAGTAATTAGAAAGTACAAGTTTCAGAAAGCATGAATGAAGGTATATATATATATATATATATATATATATATATATATATATCCAAAGATATATATATATATCTTCCCAAATATAATTTTCATAACTCTAGAACAGAGTGAAAATAGGTGTCATTACCAAGTGAATCAGATCCCCTAAAATAGCACGCAAAGTTTCAAACACAAAAGCTATTATAACGCTGCTGAATTTGTTAGTTATTTGGGGCTTGTGGATCAAAAATATATTCTTTACAGAGACACTCGTTTAAACATGATAAGGTGCCTTTCCTGTCTCCTCACACTCCACCTCTACACGTGAGAGAGCAACTGAAGAGCACAGAAACTGAATTAGCGCTTGCAAGATTAATCGATGATTGGTGTAGGAAGAACTTTTATCTTTTAAAAGAATCAGACAAAGGACCAGAACGACAGGAAGCACCAGCCCATCTTGCAAGGCTTCTGCAGAACAGAGTGGCTTGTTTGCTTCCTAGTTCGGTGCTGGTTTTTTTTTTTTTTTTTTAAGTCATTAAGTATTTCAACATTTTTTCTCAATATCACAGTTTACTCAAATGATCCGGGTATTTGGGGTTTTTTTTTTTTTTTTTGTATTTTACCTTTCTTTAAGGGAGTAGATTGGCTAAGCCCCAGGCTACCAGAAATCCTCCTGCTTTGGCACCAAGGACAGAAGTCGCTCCATCTCCGAGGAAAAGGTAACCCACCTAACCACCGCCAAAAGTCCACTTTCAGACAAAGCAAGAAAAATAAGATACCTGTCTGTCAGCCACCTGTTTAAAGTCCCCTCTGCGGCCGAATGCACCAGCAACTTCTCCGAAGAGACCCTGAACAACCGTTAAGTCCCAGGCCGCCCTCGCAAGTCACAAGGAGCAGCGAGGCGCGAGGAAGTGTGGGAGCCGGTCGGTCCCTCCCGCTCCCCGCGTCCCGGACCCGCAGGCTCTGTCTCGGGTGCGGGGCGACGGCGCGGGTGACTTGAGGGCTACACACACTCACACACACGCGCACACGCGCACACACGCGCGCGCTCGGAAGCCGCGGGCCCCCTGGGCGCAGGGCTCCCGCGGTGGGCAGCCGGGGAGGGGACGACGGCTCACCGCTAGGGCTGTCGCTGGACCTCAGGCTCCTTCCACAGAGGCACTGCAGCATATGCACTCCTTTCTTCAGAGAAAGCGCAAGAATCTTCATGGAGAGACGCGCGCGGGGTCGGCCGGCTCCCCGCCCACCTCGGCTACTCCTGCGACCCGGCGGTGGCCTGTGCGGGGCGCCGGGGTCCCGAGCCCATGGTACGTCCCGGAGCCTCGCCACTCGTTCGCCGGGCTGGGGCTCCGCCGGGGGCGGCCCTCCCGGGGGGCCCCGGACTCGGCCACGCCTCGGCGGGCTCCGCGCGACACTTTGGGACTTTCGGGAGGGCGGCCCCACTGCAGGCGGGAGCGCGGGCGCCACGGCGCGGAGGACGTCACCGTCGCCGCGGGTCGCGCCTCCTTCGGGTCCCGCGACCTGGGGCTCTGCTGCCTCGGGGTCCCCCGCTGCGGGTGGCTGGGGGCGTGGCGCGCGGCGTGGGAATCCGGCGGAAGGGAGCGCCCGCAGGAAGGACTGCACCCGGGAGGCCGCCGAGCGTCAGAAGCGACTCGGGGGACTGGGGGGCGGGGGACAGGGAAGCGGGGTGTGGCATGGAGAGAGCTTCGGGCGCGGGCGGTGAGAAAGTGAGCCCAGGCGGTCGCTGGGTGCTGATGTGGGGACCCGGACTCTTGGATTTCCTGGCTAGGGCTGTGACCTTGGGTAAGTCTTTTGCCACCTTGGGCACCTCTCCATAAATCTGGACTGGGAAAAGGGTGTGAAATAGGGGGAGGGGGTTGGCAGCTTCTGTTAGTCTCTTCCAGGCTCCTGGACATGTTTAGCATGGGTCGCAAATGGGAAGAGGAGCCTGACCGGAACACCAGAGTTGGAAAAGGAGAGGCACGTGAAGTAGAATCAGGCAGAACCAGCGAGTGTTCTGGTACCTCTGCTCCTGCCAGACTGCTCAGTTATCCTAGAAGGATCTGCTTGGTGTTAAAGGGCTCACGGTTCTCTACAACAGCTGCTTTGCGTCTGGCCCCTCACTTTCCAGAGTTTATCAATGTACTTTTGGAAATGGGATGAAAAACACTCAAATAGTGAAGTTCATGGGACTTCTATGTGTTCCTTCAAGGACAGCTGTCTTAGAGAACACCGATGCTGGTGACTAAGCCTGAATTCAAATTTCTCTTTGTCCTGTGCTCTTCAACACTAATTTTTTGGTGCTTCTAGGTTTTCATAGCTTATCGTTAGTGACCAGGTAGCTTGTGTACCCCTTGTCGTGACTTAAGAATGCACTGGTTTAAGTATTACCATGTTAGCTGCCTCCTTCCCAGTGAAGGCCAATATGCATACTATTATCTGCACAATCCAGGTGACAAGAAATTCAGTGGCTCCTCCAGGCAATTCATTGTGCTAAACCTGTTAGAAGTTTGTCCCTGACCCTGAATCAGAAACATCTTGAACTCTTTCTGTCCACTGTCTCCAGGGCATCTAACACTACTTGACTTGTTTTTCCAGGAAGGAAGGAAGACTAAATGACTGTCATCTCTTCCTCTCTCTTTACCTCCTCCGGGCTAAGGAACTGCCACTGATCTTCATGTGCTCCCCAAAAGCTGAAATCAAGCTCCCCAGAATGTCCCTTTTCCTTTCAAAGGCAGTAGAAGAAAAGTCAGAGCATGTGGAAGGACCTTTGGAGCCCTCTGTCCCTGTTGGTTCCATGCTCTCAGCTCCTTTCAGAAACCAGCTACAGACAGGCCATTTAGCATGGTTCCATGGCTCCCTCCCCAGTCTCCCAAGTCCTGGTCATCAGCTTGGACAGAGCTCTATGGGCTTCAAGGTCCTTGAAGATCTTGCTAAACTCCCTTCCCTGCCATCACCAAGATGGTTCTGAGGCCCCAAGACAACAAACAGCTATGGCCTTCCTCTTTCCCGTCTCTGCGGGAATTAGTAAGAAAATTGTCTCATCTGGGATTTTACCCATCAAGATTCCCCAAGGAGGGTGAGACAATTAACCAGAGGAAAACATCTAAAAATAGCCCTTGGTGCCATAGCAAAAGACAGCAAGTTTTCCGGTAGCGCCCTCCTGCTCTGGTAGCCAAAGCCCAGAGCTCCTGCTTCAGTTTGAGAGACATGGTCTTGCTCAATAAGGAGCAAATGAATCAACAGAATCATACCTTGGTTCTCAATGGAACTTGAGCAGTGTAAAATAGTCCATAGGTGAATTCAAAACACACCTGAGCTTGCGTCCAGACTTATGCTGAGCCTCTTTGCCTACCTGGCAAGGTTGTCACAAGAATTCAATGAACCGAGCCACATGAACGTGTTTGAAGATTCTAATTAGATTTTTGCAAGGTGAGGTGCCACTGTCAGCTTTTCTGGATTCTAGGGCTAATGTAGTGGCTCTATTATTGATAGCAGGAAGCGTTTAAGTGTGAATCTTCTGATTCCTCATTAAGCCTGTAGCTGCACCCGCCTCCCCATACCCCGGTAGAAAGCAGGGCACTAAAGTCATCTCCATCACCGTTAGTATTCAGATGGCCTGCTTTCATGCTCACAATATCATGCCCATGATTTTAGGACCAGGAATACTCATCGCAAAGAAAAAGGGAACTGAGGGATTGCATTCACACACTCACTCATTCTCAAACCTCCAGAAGTCTGATTAAACCGGATAGCACAGCATATTTTAATGTGACTTTTCTTTTACTTTAGATCATACATGTTTCATTAAAGTGGGCCACAAGGGTAGTCACTCACTAGAATTTTATTATTTGGGTTGTTTTAAAAAAATTTTTTTTCGTGTCTATCAGGGTTTTCTTGGAGTACTTTCGCATGGGATTGGCATCAGTACCCATAGTTCAGCTTCTGTAAAGGATGGTGGGCAGGACTTGAGAAGAATTCCCTTTATTAGTGCTATTATGTAGAAAAAAAGAACAAATAAAAACTGCAGAAGCCAGGAAAGTGGTATACCAGACTATTTTGGACAAAAATTTTCAAGTTTTCTTTCTTGCATTTCTAAGTCAAATTAAGAATTTTTGTAGCAATGATATTTTATTTTAAATGCAATACACATGGTTGACTTGATGGATAAACATTAAGATTTTTTTTTTGTCTCTGGGGCTTTTATAATTTTCTGTGTTTTCTATTTTCTAACCAAAGTGATACCTTGGACTAATTCTAACATATAACTTAGCAATGTAGTTTCACAATGAAATAATTTAGCACCATTTTTAGAAGACAAGAACTTGCTATAAAACTCATGATCCTCCAGCCTCAGAATCCCTAATGCTAGTATTGGAAGTGTACACAGACTAGCCTAGTATATTTAATAAAAACTGATTGGTACATAAGTGAACTTGTCTAAATTTTGAATGCCTAATCTTTACTTTTAAAACTGTTATTTATTTACAGTTTATATGAATTAATAATTGTGTATGGGAGCAGTGCCATTTTCAAATAATGGCTAATGTAAGGTATTTTAGTTCATATTAAACTCAGGAATCTGCCCATGCTTAGCATGAGCTGTGCAGCTATTGAATTTATCTTTTTGGAACCCTACATTAGACCAGTAAATAACCCATTAAGACATTGTCAGGCCCCCGTATTTTTACTGAGTATCTAAATGACTATAAAGTAGAGAGCAAATTTCTCTCTCCCAACAAACCAAGCAAGCATATGAGCTAAAGAATTGAAACCAGTGTAGCATGCAACAGTGTATTTGTTACATCATCTCTAGGGCTGCAAACCATGCCTATGCCTCATGTCTTAAAGTCACTTCCAACTAGGGGATGACAGGCAACCATGGCAGTTTATCCAGACTGACAAAAACAGTCCCCAGAAGCTATCCAGCTTTGCTTGTTTTTCCTCATCAAGTTTTTGAGGTTTGGCATGATTTTCAACTTGTGGAAAAATTATGCAGGGTTTGGGTGAAATTTATCTAACTTCTGTTAATATTCGCTGTTTTTTAAAACCAATTTACAAACATCAAACTCAGAATTTTTACATTGGCCCCTGATGATCCTATAAAATAAAGGCTTTACCGGGGCCCACAGAGGTGAGTCTGTTCCACCCTAACTGGAGGTCAGAGAGAGAGTTTGAGCTTATTCTTGCTCTATCAAAGTTGTTGACAACAGGTGTGGCTACAAATAAGAGATCCTGACCTACGTTATGGTATTTATTATATTTTGAGTATAGAGGTGGATCTGCTCCACCTTGATCAAAGGTCAGGGAATTCAAGTCTTTTTCTGCTCCTTCAAGGAGAATTGGCAAGAGGTTCCAGGCACTGGCTGCCTGCAGGATACTTGATCTATTCCTTATATCATGTTAATCATGTTAATGAAGTCTGTTGCCTACCCCTCCCCTTTTTGGAGTCTAGTATATAAGATGGAAAATACACATGCGCTATTGCAGTATTTACTGAATTTCCCTCTTGGTGTTTCTGTCTTTTATTCCTCTCATTTCTCTGTTCCTTTTGCTTAATAATTCTAATCCTCACACTTCTACCCTGGAATGGGCAAACTGCGTCCAGGCTGAACCTCCACAAAACTTTATTAACTTTCCCAGAGTTTCCTCTTACTGTCCAATTTTTCTGTTTCAGAATTCAGCCAGAACCTGTTCTAATTCCCGTGTGGCTTCAGCATCCTTCAGAACCTGTTCTAATTCCCGGGTGGCTTCAGCATCCTTCAGTCTTGTGACAGACCCTCATTACTTTATCTTTCAAAAGCTTGACACTATATAACCATCGGTCTGCTGCACTGTGAACCACCTTGGCAGTTTCTGATTGTTAGCCTTCAGTTATTCAGTTTGGAAAGACTGCCAGAGATTGACAGGGTGGCTGTGACCGCAGCATTACACCACTATTAGGGGAATTCATGCTGTTGATCAGTGATATTAACCTTGCCCAAGTAAATAATGTAGTGTCTGCTAGGTTTTTATATTATAAAGGTCTATTTTGAAATTTATTTTGAGGAATTCTTCAATATCAATATTTTGTTGCTCCTTCAACTCTCACCTGCTACTTTCAACATGTATGGGCAGGTCCTGCTTGTGACAGTCATTACTGTACTGTGTGTATAACAGTAAGTTCAAATATCATTGATTTCTTCTATAAACTGGCAATTATTTTAAAAGACTATCCCATTTCCCCACTTACTTCTTTATTTAGTGTGTGTGTGTGTGTGTGTGTGTGTGTGTGTGTGTGTGTGTGTCCGGCCTCAAGAAGGGTTTTTTTTTTTTTAAAGACTCACATTTGTTAATGGGCCACATGGTGATCAAGAGAAGTGAAGTCAAAACAGAATGAAATCAACTAAATGCCCAAGACAGACAGGCACGGCAAAGGTGCCAACCCAGAATGCTTCCTGTGGTGGCAGGGGATTTCTGTATGTTGTCGTTCCCTATCTTTGT